CCACCGGTGCAGACCCTGGGGGCAGCAGGTGATGGCTTGAGTAATTGGGAGACCTGCATTGCGTCCCCAGCTTGGGCATTTGGGGAATGAACCAGCAGACGAGAGCTCTTTGTCTCTGTCTCTGTTTCTCTCTGTGTCTATGCCTCTTAAACACACTTAAAAAACCTGTTTTAAAGGCTCCCCTAGCTGAGGGTGGAGAATGAACCTTAGGCAGGGAAAGAGGGGCTGCAGTGAGGGGGCTGGGACACAAGGTCTTGGCCGGGGGCAGTGTGGTGTGGGCAGGAGCTGGTCTCCCCATCTGTCAGCAAGGGAGTGGGAGGAGATGTCCCCTGAGGGCCTCTCCAGCTGGGGAATTTCGTGGTTTGGTGAATTACCATGCACCCACCAACTAGCTGCAGCCAGCCGCTGTTTTTCTTCTCTCATAGTCTCTGGGCTTTGCCTCTTGGATTCTGCATCTGAACAGAGCCCAACATCAGATGGGGCCTCTTGCCCGTCCCCATCACTGCCAGCCCCACTCTTGTCCCCACCTCCCAGGGACAGATGGGTGGGCAGCAGGAGGCAGCTGGGCCTGATGCATGCAGGGCCCCAGAGGAGAGAATTAGCTGACAGTTCGCAACCCCTCTCCGCCTTCCAGATCCTGAGTTAAAAGCCCCAAACGTCATCCCCAAGGGGCAGGGGTTGAAGGGCACCAAGAGATGGGCAGGGCAAGATGCTTTCCTGTCTCCCAGCTGCCCGCATGGGGGTGGGAGACCTGGGAACTGAGGGCGCCTGTGCTGGGAGCTGGGAGCCGTTCGGGTGAGGCTGAAAGCCAGTGGCCTTCAGGCCATGTCTGACCCACTGCTTCATGTCTTGGCCTGAGAAATATTTGAGAAAAATTGGAGCCAATGTTTGAAAATCAAGACATTTTCCAGTAAAGTCCAGATTTCTGAGTTCTCATGAATCTGACCATGCTAATTGCCAATTCCCATTTTACAATATACAGCAGGAGCTGAGGAGCAGCTGTCCTCATTATTATTTTAGTTTATTAATAGGTTAATACATTCACATGGTTCAGAAAAATTACACTAATGAAGCCTCCCATCTTTGTCCTCCTTCTGTCCAGTGTCCTCTCAGTAATCGATGGTTTTCTTATGTCAGCTTCCAACATTTACGTGTATATAACACATAAAAAATTGAGGTTACTCTCGCCCTTTCTTCCCTGCTTCACCCCCTGTTCTGTCCCCGTCTTTTCCCTGGAGAGGCCTTTCTGTATGAGGACATAGAGAGCTTCCTGCCATGGGCCACTCTGTTGTCAGGAAGTCCCATGATTTATTTGGCCAGTCTCCCACTGATGGACACTTGGGTCCTTCCCAATATTTGCTGTTATAAACAATGCTGTATGAATTATCTCATGTACAGTTTGCACAGACACAAATATTTCCAAAGCAGCTAAAGGAAATTTTAGGATCAGACAAAAGCAGAGCATGTAGTAGGCTCCAGCAGGACCCTGAAGCAAGGCTAAGCCTCGAATGGTGGTGAAGGCTGCTCCTAAGAGGATCCTCAACAAAGCCCGGAGACCACGGCCCTGGGGACTAGGGAAAAGCCCCCAGACTTGCCTCTGCCACGTGCTAAGTGCAGAACATCTCTCAGGTCCTCAGCGTCCCCATCTGTAACATGAGAGAGTAGCGTGGGGACCTGGATGAGTTCCCCAAGGGCCTGTTCAGCTCTGACCAGCTGTGGCCACCTTCGCCCTCCCTGCAATGTGCCTGGCTTAGCTCCACTGTGGAGCCTTCGCACAGGCTGTCCCCATGCCCTCCCCACCCCTTGCCACAAGAACACCATCCTAGTCTGGGTCTCTGAATTTGTGGCCACTCAGAACACACCAGTCCCATGTCCTTTAGCGTAGAGTTCCCTCAAGAGCACCCCGAGAGGTGGGTCACCCCAAAACCTGACCCACACCTCAGATCCCCCCTCAAATCATTCTTCTAGGTCACTTCCTCCAGTGGCCTGAACGCCAGCAATGAGTTTCTGGATACCAGCTCCGCTACTTCCCAAAAACCAGCTTTGTGACAGCCCTTCCCTGAGCCTCAGTTGCCACTCAAAGAATGGCTCCTTTGAGCACAGCATGTGGCAAATCTGTGAAGCTCTTAGCACAGCTGTGGACACACAGAAGGGCTTAGCGATCTCGTAAGTTACTCCCCTGGTCTGATTAGGTTACCTTTACAAAATGGACAGAATGATGGGCCCTTTATTGTAGGGTTGATTGCTCATTCATTCATTAATTCCACGATTTTTATAGAATACCTATCTAGTGCCAAGCACACCAGTGGGCATGAGAAAGTCTGGTGGTGAAGAAAATACAGACATGTATCACTTAACGGTGGGGAAACATTCTGAGAAATGCATTAAGTGATTTCATCCTTGTGTTAATCTCACTAAATCTGCTTACACAAATTTAGATGATATAACCTATGACACACCTAGGCGCTCCGGTATAAGCTATCACTCCCAGGCTGCAACCAGCACGGCAAGTTCCTATATGAATACCATAGGCAATAATAACACAATGGTACATATGTGAGTATCTAAACACAGAAAAGTACAGTAAAAATACCAGGTGATAGAAACACTTCAGCTTCACTGTACTCTGATGGGACCATCGCCGAATATCCCCTCTGTCACTGACCGAAACATGGGGATGCAGTGCATGACCATAGGTAGATTGTCCCAGCCCTCATCGAGCTCCCAAGCAGTTCAGAGCAGGCTTGTGTGCTGATACTAAGCAGAAATACCCTAAGGCATTATGGACACTCATAACAGGGGACCTCGGGGACACTGGGGGATAGAGAACAGGGCACACAATTGGGTGAGAGACCCAGGAGTGAGAGGTGTCACCCCCCAGAAACAATCATCATTATTTATCCTCACCACAGCCCCAGGAGCAAAGCACCAGTTATCTCTCATCTTACCTTTCTCTAAAGTTAAAGGAAATCAAGTGCTTTGCCCAAAGGGATGGCTGGGTTTCAAACCTACATTTAGCCAGTTTGAGAGTCTCAGACTTAAAAACCTATCTCCTACTGCCTGTTCAACTGGGCCAGTCCTGGCCTAGAGAGAGAAATGGGAGCTGGAGGAGCTGCCTCCTTTTGGGTAAGGCCCATAGATGGGAACCTAACTCTGCCAGGCCCCACCCAGACAGCCTCAAAAAGGCAGAGGTTAGACATGCAGGACCTGGCCCAGGACCAGGAGGGTACCCTCGTCCGCAGCTTCTCCCCTTCCTGCCACCATCCAGGGCTCTGTGCATCCCTGGAGTCTCCCCGCCTAGTGTTACAGGAGAGGAAGTCAAGGCAGAGATCCTGCTTTATAACTAACATTGGGATTCAGCTCTTCCAGCCCAACCGACATACACGCCTGCTAATCTGAACACACTGGTGGATAACAGACTGTCAGCCTCGAATCCAGCCTGGAAAATTCTCTTAATCCTTAACTCTTCCCCCTCTGTTTTCAGCATTGGGCAACAGCTGGTACCCCAACCTCCTAAGCATTGCTGAGACCAAAACAGACCCTGGATACTGAAGGGATGCCAGGCTGCTGGACTGCAGATGGCTGCTCAGGGCCCAGGACAGCTGTCTCCCTTCATCCTCCCTTACCTGCCATTTCCTGACCCCCTCTGCCCTCCTCTCCTGCTCTTCCCCCCTCCTCTCCTCTTGAGAGTAGCAAGGTCTATTCTGGAGCCAGACAATGGGCTTGATTTTGGCTCTAGTACTATCTGCATGACTCGGAACAAATTAATTACCTTCTCTGTGACTCGGTTTCATTAGTAAAATAGGAGGGGGAAAGGCAAAGCACCTCACACACTGTGAGGATAAAATGAGTTAATAATTGTGCAGTGCTTAGAACAGCGCCGGGCCAGGAGGAGGTGCTCCAATCTGAACAGCAATCTGAACAAAGGTTGGGGGGTGGGGATGGGCAGGGGTCTCTCCGGCCAGTGGGGCCTCCTGCACTGCTATAATCTCCCCTGGTCTCTCCAGCCCCAGGTTGCTTCCCTGTGGTCAGTTCTCTACCCTGCTGCTGGATCTGCTCTCTAAATCCTGGCATGGTCACAGAGCTCCCCTGCTCCAATTCTGCAGATTCCCGATGTGCTGCTGGAGGAGGGCCACCTTCCGGCCCTCTAGGACCAAACCCCTCAGACCTCCCCAGCATCCTCCCCATCTTCTCACCCACCCACTCCCATCTGCGGGCCACACTTCCTTGAAAACGCGCCCTCCAGGTCTTGCCCTCGCCCTTTTGCCCACCCAGTTTTTGCTCTCTGCCTCTCTGCCCCCATGCTGTCCCTTCCCTCCCTTGCTCTCCAAACCTCCTGTGACCACAAGCGAGCAGTCCCTGAGAGAAGGAAAAGGGCGAGTGAGGAAGAGGCGGCGACTCTCAGAGGGGCAATTTTCGCTGCTTCTAAACGGAGACAATAAGGAAAGGGACCTCCCAAGAACACCGATGGGGTGGCACTGTACCAAGCACCAGGGTCACCGGGAAGGGGTTGCTTTCGTCATGCACGACTGCCACAGGGTTGCTGTGGGGTCCGCCGGAGCAGCCAGGCCCCCAGCAAATTACTTCTAACTCCCTGACCCCCACCCCTGGCCGGCCAGGCTGCTGGAGATAAACACAGGAGATCAGAGGAAGAAGAGAGGACGGGAGGGGGCCCATCAAGAAGAAAGGAAGTGGAGTCCGGGGGGAGGTAAGACACGCAAAGCCAGAGGCCGGGGCCCCACCTCCCGAGGAAGGACAGAGGTGACCGAGGGCGCGTTCCCCTCCCCGGCCCCTCTCCCGCCCCTCCGGAGGGCTGCCCCATTCCGAGGCGGTGCGCGCGCGCGCCGGGCGGGTACCGGGTGGCGCGGCGCCGGGAGGGATGAATAATTAAAGGAGAGGGAGGAGGAGGAGGAGGCGGCAGCGAGGAGGGAGGAGAGGAGGCGGGAGCCGCCCGCGCAGGGTCCTCCCCGCCGCGCACCGCACCCCCTCCGCCGCCCGGAAGTCGCTCCCCGCCGCCTGCTCCGCCAACATGGCCGCGAAGTCGGATGGCGCGGCAGCCGCTGCCGGCCCGGGGCCGGAGGGGGCGGCCGGCGGGGTCCGCGGCGGGGCGGGCGGGCGCGGGGAAGCGGCGGCGGTGACCGGAGGCGCCGAGGCGGGGGGCCCGGGCCCGCGCTACGAGCTGCGGGACTGCTGCTGGGTGCTGTGCGCGCTGCTCGTGTTCTTCTCCGACGGCGCCACGGACCTGTGGCTGGCGGCCTCCTACTACCTGCAGGGTCAGCACACCTACTTCGGCCTCACCTTGCTGTTCGTGCTGCTGCCCTCGCTGGTCGTGCAGCTGCTCAGCTTCCGCTGGTTCGTCTACGACTACACCGAGCCCGCGGGGGCCCCGGGACCCGCCGTCAGCACCAAGGACAGCGGTGCAGGCGGAGCCGCCATCAGCACCAAGGACAGCGCCACCGCCTTCAGGACCAAAGAAGGCAGCCCCGAACCGGGCCCCCAGCCCGCGCCCTCAACGGCCAGCACCTACCGCCGCCGCTGCTGCCGCCTCTGCGTCTGGCTGCTGCAGACCCTCATCCACCTCCTGCAGCTCGGCCAGGTCTGGAGGTAGGAGAAGAGCAGGTGGAAGGGTTGAGTGGGGGGGGGGGGGGTGGAGGGTGGCCAGGGCAGCAGCCTTCCCAGCCCTGCTTTGACCTCTCCAGGCCCCCTCCTGTCCTGACCCCCGCCCCACCTCCCCTCCCCTCATTGCAGCTCCTCCTGACCTCTGCCCCTAAACCCTGACCAACCCAGTGTCATTGGCACTGATTTGGCTGTCAAGAGAGGAGGTGATGGGGTAAGACAGGAGAGAGAGATCTGAGGGGTGTGTGGCTGAGGAGGGCCCTGAGCTCTGGCCCACTCCTGTCTGAGTGCCGAGCCCAGGCTTTAGAAAGCTCTCAGAAGTCTTTTCCTGCTCCCAAACATTCCCAGTTTGGAATCAGCCCAGTCCCAACCTCCCAGGAGAGACAGAATTTGAGGCAGCCAAATGAATATCCCGCCTAAACTTTTTGGGCTTTTTGGGAAAGTGTATGCTAGATCCAACTGGAAGCTCTCTGACTCCAGCTTCCTAAAGGCTCCCCCAGTGCCCTCTCCCTCCAACAGGGCCAAGGGAATTTGGAATCTCGAATCTGAGATTCAAAGGCCACCAGCTTCCCTTTAACCCTAGGACAGCAAGGTAGAAGCTGAGGCTTTGTTTAAGCTGCCCACTTGCAGGCTTCTTCCTCTGCCAGAATTCAAGGTGCCTGCTGTGCTGTGTTAATTGAGGAGAAGGGGACTCCCCGTGACTCCAAGGTGCTCCAGCACCTCAGGCTCTACCACTCAGTGACAAAAGGGACTTAGTTCCTGTGTGCTCTTAGGCGAGCAGACCCCCTCCTCCTTCCAAGCCTCAGTTTTCTCACCTGTGAAACAAGGGAGACTCTCTGGATTTTGCATCTTGCTGGTTTACCATCACATTTTCCTGACCCGTTGGGGTGATCAGGGAAAGGTCTAGATGAGGACTCTGAGACTGTCTCCTGTTTCAGAAATGTAATGAGTTATCACGATGGCAACAGATGTGGGGGAAGCATGGAAGAAGTCACTCTGGAGATACACAGGGTGATTATTTCTGTTATATTTATTCTGCTACTTGTTAACACATTTTTGCTTAACTCAGAAGATTCCATTCTGGGCTGAGGGTTGGAAACAGGACTCCCAGGGTTTGTCCCAGCTGCTCACTTGCTGTGTCACCCTTGCTGGGTTGTCAGTTCTTCCTCTGCCTTGGTTTCCCCATCCGTGCCTGCCAAGATGATGTGTACTTTCCACCTAGCTTGCCCTGGGTGGGGGAAGGGGGTGGAGTTCTAGCTACACAAGGCATTGTTGTTATGATTATTAGCTGGACACACAAAAATATTCATGTCTACATCCAGGAACTAATCTGCATTTATCATTCTGTGCCCGAGTGGACAGATGGTGAGAGATATTTTTAGATTCTGAAATGGTAACTTCCTATTCTTGGTAGCCAAAGCTTCATTCCCCTTTCCCTTCAACCTAAAGTGGGCCAACTGCCCCTTGACTCACTGGTTACCTGCCTCCCCCATTCAGAATCCACTTACAAGAAATGAATGCTTCTCTTCTTTCTTGAACATAAACAGTTTCCCTCAAATAGGGCAAAAAATGGCCACAGGCAGGGGGTCCCAGGGGAGCGGCTGGAAATGGCTGAGGGTCTGCTGAGTGGATGCTTGCTCAGATGAAAGAGCCATTTCCACTCTCCCTCATTTATAAAGTGAGGGATTCAGGATGAGATGATTTTGCATGAATAAACCATCTAACGGCTGTGAAGTTGAATTTGGTCTTACAGGAGTACTTCCTGTGGCTTGAATAGTACTTTTTAAAACCCAGAGTTGTGCAAAACGTTTGAATCTAGCAGTATGAGGCCTGTAACAATTGAGACTCAGGGACTCCAGTTTGTCTGCCCTTCCCTTTGTCACAGCTGGGCCACCTCACTTAGGCATGACGTAGGCTTGAGTCCCTAATTTACAGTTCTGAAGCAATTATTTTATTAAGCACTCACTTTAAGCCAAGCCTACTGGTCGCCTTTTTACCAGCTTTATCTTCTGAATTCCTCCTAATAGTCTTAGCATGTGGCTGGCATTATAACTCCTGGTTGACAGATGAAGGGCTGGGGGCTACGAGAGGGGCCTCCTTGCCCAAGGTCACATAGCTAGGGACTGGAAAAGCTGGGACTTAGGACTCTCTGCCTTCACAGCCCCAGTTCAATTTATCTACCTTGCAATTCTGCCACTAACATGTCCCCCACGCACAAAGAATTATGAGTCTGAGATTCCGAGATTCCAGGACGATAGAAAGTCAGGGCTTCTGTTGTGCTGAGATAAGAATGTGGAAAGTGGGGAGGGAGCTGAGCTCTGTGGGGAAGGATGGGAAGCAGTGTGGTGAGGACTGTGCCGGGCAGGGGGTGGGGCACTGTCGGGAGTCTTACTTCTTCATAACTAGCTTGCTAGATGACCTTGCACCAAGCTCTTCCTGTCTCTGGGCCTCAGTTTCTCTGAGTGTGAAATGAGAAGATTAGATTTGATGACCTTGGCCAGGAGAAAAGGAGACATGCCTTTCTCTCTGGCATGGTGCTGGGCTCTGGCTGCTGCTTGTACCACCCTAAAGTCATCAGATTAGATTTTGGGGGGCCCTCTCTTGGTGCTTTTCTATTTTTTAATATTTATTTATTGACAGGCAGAGTGGACAGAGAGAGAGAGACAGAGAGAAAGGTCTTCCTTTACCGCTGGTTCACCCTCCAATGGCCGCCGTGGCTGGCGCACTGCTGCCTTGCACCGTGCTGATCCCAAGCCAGGAGCCAGGTGCTTCTTCTGGTTTCCCATGTGGGTGCAGGGCCCAAGAACCTGGGCCATCCTCCACTGCACTCCCAGGCCACAGCAAAGAGCTGGCCTGGAAGAGGGGCAACCGGGACAGAATCCGGCGCCCCGACAGGGACTAGAACCCAGTGTGCCAGCACTGCTAGGTGGAGGATTAGCCTAGTGAGCTGTGGCACCAGCTGGGGGGCCCTCTCTTGAATACCCCCTCTCTGTCAGGGCCACAGCCTTGCTCCCTCTGCCTCCTGACAAGCCCTACAATCCTGAGATGTTCTGAACCAAGTTAGTGGCCTGCTGGGTGCTTCCTTCTCCTCCAGAACACTGAGTACTTAGAAAAGTGGGGCTCGGAACTGCAGAGAGCTGGAAAGGGACTATGGAGTGTAGACTGTCCTCTCCAAATTCACATTCTGTGATCAGTTAGGAGCAAAAATGTCATAGAAGTGGCCATGGGACGTGAGAGGTCCACATGAGGTCACATCAACCAAGCTGGAATTCTGACTCTAGGTCTGTTACCAGAGCTAAAGCCTCTAGACCTTGCCCTCAAAGCCCTGGATTCCAACATGGCTTAGGGTCTGATCCAATGGGAGGAAATAGAGAGAAGGTTTAGAAAAGCCACTGGGGCTGACATTCCTAGAAACTAAGCAACGTTAGCACCACATGTTTGCTCACCACATGAAATGCTCCCATGGTTGTTCTGAGTGGCCAGCCCAGGGTAACAGGAAAATTCTTAGGCTTGTACAATGCCAAGTCAAAAGTGCAACTGCTTTGGGGAGCCAGGAAGGTAACAAACCAAGCACATGGGACATGGGACAAGAGGACATTCGGGGACACGCAATGTCCTAGACAACAGGAAGATACTGCCTGCTTCAGCTCAGGGTTCCAGGAGAAGTTGTGGACCCAGCGTTTTCAAGTCCTGACTTCTCAAGAGAAATGGGGATCTGGGATTTTTGTGCGAACTCTCCCAATTTGCAGAGTTCTCGAAAGTAGTATTAACAGAAGGAAACATATCCATGGGCCCGTCTTCCACATAACCTTTGATCTAGCTCTGCACCATTGATAAGGTCCTTTAATACAAAAGCTCTTATTATTTTATACCTAAAAGGAAGCCCAGAAGAGGGTGAAGCTGGGAGGGAACCCTGAGAACCCTTCACAGCCACATGTCCCAACAGTCCCTGAGTGAGGTAGTAGAAGCAGGTGGTCTCATCTCACCCAGAAGCCTTCCCCCTGCTGTTACTGAAATACCCATTAATCAGATCAGGAAGTCAAGTAACTTGCACAGAGGCACCACTGAGGAAGTGAGATGGGGTGCACGCCCAGACTCATCCAGCTCCTAAGCCCAGCTCTCTCCCTGGCACCACACACTGGCTGCATCAGGGGATCCCAAAGCTCAGTGGCTTTGGATATAGTCCCCAGGAGAGGGGCCAGGACATTCTGTGGGGCACGAAGCTGAGTCTACCTGGACACCAGCCTGTGTCTTCACCCCTTTGCCTCCTTCCCACCCCCCTGAGCTGTTAAGCCACTGAGGACTGTTAAGCCAATTAAAGTCCTACCTCCGTCTCCTCTGACCCTGTGGGCAGCAGAGCAGTAAGCCATGAATCGTGCTTTCCCTAATCTTGGACTCACTGGGCACGAGCTCTGCCTGGATAAGCATGGATTGCTAAGCCAATTAGTGGGAGCTGATCTGGCATGGGATTCCTCCCAGGCTGTCAGGTTATGGGGACCCCAAAATGGGGAGAGAGGGAGAGAGCTGGGCTTTGGGGGTCCTCCATCTGTCCCCCCTCTTTGTCTAGTCTGCAGCACGGTTCCCTCTGCATCCTAACAAGCCTTGCGGTCCAGAGAGGCACTGACCCTGCCAGCCATGCAGGGCACGTGCTGGGCTCCCTCTGGGAAGGAGCCATTCTCTTGCTCTTGGCACATGGTTAAGAACATGGACTCTGGATTGAAATGCTCAGTTCGGATCCTGACCCTCCGACTTCTTACATGTGAACTTGCTGGGCCACATCATCTCTCGTCCCTTAGAAATCAGGGACTATTGTTTCGAGCGGGATAGTGTCTCTCTACCAAGGGCTGAGAAAAGAGCTGGTCCTGTCATGAAGTGCTTGTGAGCCACTGGCAATGATTACTGCCACCAGCCTGGGCTTTGTTCCCTGTGGAGCGTGGGGCCAGTGACAGGCAGCCATTCATTTAGTCTGCAGTCTTTACGCAGATATT